TACTAAATGGGACTGCTATTCTATAATGGAGGTAAGGAAGAATTTATTTGCAGTACAAAGGATTCCTTAGGGTTTCTTCTAGTATTACCATTTTCTATTATTAAGATCAATGAGAAATTCCAACAACCCAGTCCAGGTAAGATGACAATTTGCCCAGAACCTTCAGGAATTGGGGTATGAGTTATCCCACCAGGTAAAGGATCACGACTTTCTGGGATGATTGCTGAAGGCCAAATAATCCACAATGGGTAGTTGAAGGTAGTTATAAATACCAGTTACATCACATGATCAGTTATAGAAATGAGGCTTATAATTGTTTTGAGTATTTATTTCCTATTTTTCTAACATACTTATGCATATATATATATAAATGCAGATATCATTATTTTCTTATTTTTGTACGACTTTGATTAATGTAATATCACTATTTAAGTATTGTTACTTTTACATTATGATATTTAAGTTATGCACTATCAGGGTGAATAGACAGTATCACCCAGACCAAAACTCTACCTTCTATTCTGGGAAGAAAATTAATGTTTCCGTCTGTACACAAATAGTTGTGTCATATTAAGTGCTATTATATTTGGAGAGTAAGTATAATTTAAGGAGATAGGTCTGGTTGGCAGGTTGACTATGGTTAGATCATGGCCATTAATCATGGTAATTCAACTTGAATTCATTGAGAAACATCCAGCAGATTAGGGAAGCACAGTTCTGTGTGAGTGCATGTATGTGTATGTGTATGTGTGTGTGTGTGTGTGAATGGCTGACATTTCCCTAAGCAAACTGAAGGAAAAAGATCAGATGTGGCTGGTACCAACCAATAAGGTTATAACCTGGAAGTAATAAAGAAGAAGAAAGCATTGCCATTTTGTAAGAGATCCAGTCCTGCTGTTGCCTTTAGACATCAGTCTCATTTTTTCAGTCTTTCACAACAGGCTCATACCAGCAACACTCTAGAAACTTCTTGGTCTTTGGTTTGAGCTAGCATTTCATTCTTTCATTCATTCATTCATTCATTCATTCATTCATTCATTTATTTATTTATTTATTTATTTATTTATTTATTTATTTATTTATTTTGGTACCAGGGATTGAACCTGGGTCCTTGCACTTGCAAGGCAGGCCACTGCTAGCATTTCATTCTTGATCCCTCTTGTTCCCTGGCTTCCATCTCATTGGACTGAGAAGCTACTGGATCCTGTAGATTTCTGAGATCCATGTGGCCATTGTGTATCCTCATGCCTTCGATTCCACACAACCACCATTGTGGACTCTTCCACCTCTGATACTGTAAGTCTATTTAATAAATCCCATTGTATTAGTATACATACTTTCTCTATTGACTGTATTCCTCTAGAAAACCCTAACTAATATAAAGTTACATATTACTTAATATAATATATTCTTTAACTGTCTGTAGTTTACCCAAATTAATGAAGCAACTGTGAGGTATGAGCATATTTTCAAATAAAAAAGACCTCAGTGTGTTTAACTGGAACTTTAGGAAGTCAATAATGTCAGCATCTGATTCTTCTGTGGTTCATTGTTAGTAATTTTATTTCTCAATAATTGCTATGATTGAAAATTGCTATGATAATAATATTTTGGGAAGGTTGACCTCTACATTTATTTCTACTTTATAGGACACTCATATGATATTTTGTTAAGTGGAAATCATCATTCCCTTTCCAAAGTCAAGAAATTACTGTTCTCAAGCCTCCTGACATTTTCTTACTATAATTTCCATTTCACAATAGCAGAACAAAGTTAGTCCTACATAAAAACCATGACAAGCTGCTGGAAAGAGATTTTCGTCTCTATTTTCCAAGAATGTCTACTTTCTTACAGTTGACTAGTCACCCTGGGATGAGGTGTTTTCTGGGAAATTTCTGGATTTCTTTCCAAGCATATCCCTGTGCAGCTGCATGTGTGAAAACTCCTCCTCCTTGGTGGATGTTTCTCAAGATGACAGAAACCCTTGAAGCACAGCACAGAACAGGAGTGGACTGCTTCAAGGGAAGACTTCAAGTCCAATTGTTCTTCCCGTTTTACTTTAGCTGTTCTGTGGCTTGTGCAGCCTGGACTTTGCTATTGAAATTCATATCATCTTTCTCTGTAGTGAAGACAAAATTCCCTGGGTTTTTCCAATAGGAAAAAAAAAAGTATGGCTAATCCCAAATCTACTCTTGTCACAAACTTGATAAAACTACAAAGCTCAAAATTGGTGGATGGAAGCTCTATGGAGTAGAACGAGGGCTGAATGGTGTGACAGTGGTTTAAAAAAGCCATGTGACACATGTGTAAATATCAAATAGTTTCTCTGGTGTGAAAAACTATAATTGTAAATAAGATCCTAATGGTATAATTGACAGTATGAAATAGGAAGAAAAGGGCTAAAGGTGTAGGGGAAGTGGGAAGGGTGGGGGAAAGGAAATAAGGGAAAAGAAAAAAATATGAGAAAATGAAAAAATGTAAATAAAGTTTTTGTAAATAGGGAAGGGAGGAGGGGGTAAGGAGAGGGCAGGGGTATGGGGAAAAAATGAGAACCAAGACCTATTATGTACAGGTACAAGATCCCAATGATTAATGTAAGTGTACTGAATACCTAAAATGTACCAGTAAACTCAATGAGGGGAAAAGAAAAAGAAAAGCCATGTGACAACAAAGGATCTCCAGACCATTACAGACATCCTGCTCTCAGTAGGCAATCATAAGACACAGGCAAATCTTTCGATATAAGGCCTGTTATAAATGGATACTGTGAAATCACTAGAGGTAGGCTTTTGCGAGGATAATAAAAATTTATTCCTGTGAATAGAGACTAAAATCAAGGACTAAAGTCAGATATGGATTTTAGCAATGAGCTGGGAAGATGTAAGTTTATTACCCTCATGTATGTGGATGTGCTAACTTTGGGAGAGAGAAATACCAGCAGCTAGCTAGGAGAGTTTTCATCTATGTGTGTGCATGGGCTAACATCAAGACAGAGATATTAGCAGCTGGCTTGGAAGGGAATTAGGCTTATATATGTATTCAAAAGGGGGATTAAAACCATAAGAAATATTTATGCCAGAATCCAAGGATAGCCAGCACAGATATTTAGACAATCACTGGACTTCACAGCATGGGAGAGATTGTCTTCTGTTTACTGAGAAACTGTTTGTGGAGAGTGGGATGTTTTGCTTGTAAATATCTCATTTAGGCCAGGCATGACAAAGTCCACTCATTCTTCTGAAAGAATCCTGACTAATCTTCTCTAAAATGCATATGCATAGACCTCCTTATATCCGTACCTAAAGCTAAAGGCCTTCATTAGGGCAGAGGAGTCTTGTTGTAAAAGTATAATTTTAAATGTAATTCATGTACTTTTTTTCATTATTCTATTTCTCACCGAGTCCTGATCAAAGCTACAGTATGATCCAAAATATATTCTACTTGTTCATATTCAACTCCATTATGCATCACCCTTCACTTCCATCAGTCACAATTCAGCACCTCAGAATATTGGGCTATGATTTGTCCCTTATAGAAAACCTCCGATATCACCCTTGGACAAAATAGTTTGGATAGCTTTGTGTACAGTTTCATCAGAGTAAGCCCAGTGAAGTATATATAAGCTATAGCCAATTTCTTTTCTTTTCTTTTAGCATTATCACATGGTTAAGAATAATGTTTATGTTTAAATGCATGACAAAAATTATTATAGTTTGTTAAGTCAAAATGATATGAAATGAAAATTTCACTGTCCATAAAAAAGGTAACATAGAGGGATTTAGCATAGTGGTGCTGCCGCCTGCCTCACAAAAGCAAGGTCTTGAGTTTGAACCCCAGAACAACAACAACAACTATATATATATCTATCTATATCTATATCTATATCTATCTATATCTATATATATCTATACATAGATATATATATTTGAACTTGGATACTATCATACATTATATTATAATTACAGCAGCTTTTGCACTTATGTGCAGTAGAGTTGAGAATTTGTCGCAAAGACTACCATCCAGAAACCTGAAAAGTTTTATTATCTGGTACTTTTCCCAAGCCTAGTTCTATGAAATTCATATTTCTCTTCCCTCAGTGTTTAGAATATCAAAATATTTTATATATCTAGAAACAAAATCTTCTTTTATTAGCTTTTTGAACTATGGATTGAAGAATGATTCCCCACCCTACAACCATTTGAGGTTTTGTAAGGATAGAAACCTATAGTTGGGGAAAGATGAGGGAGCCCCCCCCCAAGCTCCATGTTTAGACAAATGGTTGAACAGGCTTAACCATCTGTGAAGAGCTGTCAGCTTGCAGTTGCATTTCCTCTTTATGCTGTATCCTGAAAAGCTTGGTTTGCAAAGCTAAAAGCAAAAAAGGAAACCTGACCCAGAAGTGCGAAAAGCCCCCAGAGACCCTTCCCCATTTTTCCTAGTAACAAGCCAGTCAACTAATCAAGTAGTGGCGCCCTCAGCCCAGAGACAGGATAGGCTCCCCATTACTATAAAGAGTCTAGCTTTCCTCCAACGGTGGCTCCATTTAGGTCACCCCTGCCTGTCTCTCTGAGAGAAGGCAGCTGTACTCTTGCATGCTTGCTGAATAAAAGTACAAACTTTGCTTCTATGCTTTTATCTCTTTCTGATTCTTCCACAACCTTCCGCGTCATGGGAGTCAGAGCCAGGATCGCGGGGACTCTCCTCCCATCTCCATCCACACTTTTATATTGTCTTAAAATAATACATCCTTTACCCAGCAATTGCTTTCCCAAACCAATAAAGCAACCTTGACTATAAGCATATCTCAAACATGAGAGATCTGCATTTATTTAAATTTTAGAAAATTAACAAAGATTGGTATGCACTTCTCTTTATTTATTATTTATTTATTTCGTACGCACTTCTGTGATTCACTGCTGATAACTTGTTCCCCTATAATTGCTACATTTGAGAATTGCTATGATGCTGAATATTTTAGAGCAGGTATAGCCGTGTGCTTATTTCTATATTATAGGATTCTTGGTGCACATTTCATTAAATGGAAGCCATTGTTCCTTTTCAAAAATCAAGACATTTGGATTTTCACCCATGCTGCTATTTTCTTACAATGACTTCCTTTTTACAGTAACAGAACGCTCATTTTTCCATGAAAATCAAAAGAAGATGCAGGACACAGATTTGCTTCTCTACTTCCCAACAATGTCCAGTCTTCTCACAGTTGACTGGTCACCTCTGAAATAAGATGCTTCCCAAAAAATTTCAGGATCTCCTGCCAAGCATGTTCTTGTGCTGCTGCATGTGGGATAACTTCTCCTCCCCAGTGAATGGGTGTCAACAAGAGAGAGATCCTGGAAGCAAGGCACAGTGGAGAATAGGGAGGTTCTATCATGTGGCCAGCCCCAGGGTAAGATAGCAGCGTCCAGTTGTTCTTCCCATTTCTCCTCAGCTGTTCAGTGGCATGTGCATAATATACTTTGGCATTGATATTCTTATCTTCTTCTCCCACAATGAAGAGAAAATGTCCCTTGGCTTTTTCAATAGGAAGAATATGCTGACTCATCTCAGCTCCGATTCCCTCATAACTCCTATAAAACTCTGCAAATCCCAAGGCATTGGTGGATGTATGCTCTATAGAGAAGGGTGCAGGCTGCCTGATCTGACCATGGTATACTTGTGGAACTGAAATAACGAAGTTAGGCCCATTGATAAGCACTGTGGCTGTGATTTGTTTTAGATGAATAGCCAGAGACAGTCCAATCTCTGCTCCTTTACATAAGGAGACTATCCCAAGGCCCGGACCACAGACCTGAAAACAATGGAAAGGAAATGTTATTCTGTCTTTTCATTTGAAAGAAAAACCCATAATTTCAGACACCTGAAGAACTTTTAATTACATAAGAAAGAAAGAAAGTGAAAAACCCTACCCCTGTGCTCTTGTATCTCATGTATAGAGTTCTGGAATATAAATTGCGTATTCAAAGGAAATGCTCTTTTGCAAATTTATCAGGCTTTGCTAACTAAATAATATGGATTGAGTGTAGTGATTGGTTTTTTCAGTTTTAAATATCCTGAAGAAATGTGGTAAAATAAGTAACGTGTATGTACTATTGTAAGTAATATGAGTCAGGGGACAATAGATTAGTAAACTTTGTTGTACCAGTTCTGCTCTCTACAAATTCAGAAGGAACTGAGCAAGGTGAAAGCAGGATGGACCAAAAACCTTGGGCATAAGGCCTTATACTTTGCTTTCAAAAAGGATCTCAAACTGATGCCTAGCGCAGCTTCCTCTTTTGTCAATGATCAATTAGTATTTTTAGATTATCCACCTTATCTTAAAAACTAAGAAATTAAGAGAGGAAAAATCACAATGTCTTGGCATGAAGGAATTCCCTGGCAGATGGAAAGATGTGAGAGAAAACCAATAACAAAAATCAAGGTGATTCAAGTATTATGAGTTCTATGATATAAGAATGTATGCAGACAAAGCTACCAAGGCAGATAGGCAATGAATAAAGCAAAGTCAAGGAAGAACTCTCAGAGGAAATTGGTATGAACTGAGTCTTCATATAAAAAATGGCAGCTAGAAGAAGAGATAGTATTGTATGCTGAAGTTCGGAGGCATTGCTAATTTCAAGACTAGGGTGACCTTAATCTTGTGTGATTATTGCCCTGTAAAACACACTTTTTCAGGCTCTGCTAATGGTCATTACATACTTTTTTTCCTCAGGCAAAGTTATACAAAATCATATCATGAAAGCCTATGTTCCTGACCATTCTTTCTAGCTTAAGATGCTGGCATTTGACTTAATGCCTGATATTGCCAGACATCTGGTGACCTGGAGTATAAATCTAGAAAGTTGTAAAAATATCAGCCCAGTATGCTTGATGAGATATGTCACTGATTATATGAATCAAAGTTTGAGCCACCTGTTTCAATACATGTTACAAGAGATAAAAATGCCTTTGTTGATGTCATTTGAACCACTATTAGCCATGTTCCCGGGAAATGTAGCTAGAATGGACTCACCATGTAAGGGACAGATGTAAAAGCTGTGGCAGCAAACACCAGTGGACTTAGGGAACTACAGGTATATCTTCATACTTGAATTTGGAGGATAAGGTGGAAAACAGAAAAATAAGGTGGAAAAAAATGACACCGTGATAATGAACATTTTTAAAAGATATAAGCTCCCTTGACTCTTCCTAATTAAAGAGCAGCATTAAAGCAGAATTGAAAGATAGAGGAAAATAAGGCTGACTATGTACATAGAAGTCAAATCATAATATATTTTGCCTAGTAGACTAGGAAGCCTGGCTTTTATCCTTTATCATTTAGTCAAAGAGAAGATCCTGCACAAGTGAGCAAAACAGTTATGTCCTTAAAATGCCAATTGTATAATTCTTACTGGAAAGAATGGGAGCAGAAAGCCAGAGCTTAGTTTAATAAGATAGGCCAGAAATGATGGAGTCCTAAAAGAAAAGAGCACAGGTGAATTGAAGGGAAGGGAAACAACTTGTCCATGAGTTGTTTATGATGTAGAATATATATACACAGTTCTCAGCCACCAGGTAATTTGGGAGTGCAAAGGAGAAAAAGTTAATGATGATTATTGTTTACAACAGAAAATGCAGTTAAGAATGATTATCTTTGTTTACTGCTTGCAAAGGACTGAGGTTCAGACATTTTTCTAGCACCTTTACTCTCTTCACATTCTTTTCTTAATTGGTCTTCCATATTTTCAAGTCATTTATCAACAGATGCATAAGAGTTATCTTTCTGCTATTTAGAAAAAAATGACTGAATATACCACTTGTGCCTGGTGGGCAGAAATGTGAGAAATAATTGGGATAAGGGAATAATCCCTCAACAAACAAAATGAGTCATATATGCTCATATATAATTTTTAAAGGATGGTTTGTATCAATTAAAATATATGAAATTCTTTTCTAAGTTTTTCTTTTAATTGACACATAATACTTGTATATATTTATGAGGTATAATGTGATATTTGCAAGTATATGTTTTGGAATGAGCAAATCAGGCTAGTAAATGTATTTTATCACTTTACATATGTACTTTTCCTTGTGGTAAGATCATTTGAAACCTACTCTTGTAGTTATTTAAAAATGCACTATATCATTCTTAACCATAGTTACCATGTAATATGACAGATCAAAAGAAATTATTCTCCCTGTCTTACTCGGAATTTGTACTCCTTGACTAACATATCCCTTTTCCAAAATCCACCCTTGCTTCAAAATTCTTTCTTAATATAAAAGATACTCACCATTAAAGCAAGAAGACATAGGAATTCAATGCAATTGGCCATGCAAGATAAAGTAAAATCACATATAACATAAATAGTGAAACAAGGTGACTCAAATATGTGCAGACTTTATCTAATTTATTTATGATCCTTGGAGGAAAAATAACTCTTGCCTTAATTTTTGCCATCAAATTTGGAATCAAGAATAAGTTCGTAGAAGTTGCATAAAATCAATTGGTAGAAAAGCATAACCTGAAAGGAACTGAAAGATCTCTAGTCTACCACTCTTCAGAAGAGGCTCTGCGAAGCAAGGATGGATATACTCAGCACTTTGGAAAGAAATCTTGTTGGTCACTAACTAGCTATGCAGAATTGCATCAATAGGGATGGAACATGCTTGCAAGCAAGTATAAGGGGAACAAGGCTGAAGACGTAAAAGAGCAGAATCACATAATCTCTCACTTTTCTCATCCAAGACAAAGGGCTGGCATAATTATAACATTGACTGGCAGTTCAAGGACAATTTCACTAGAAGCATCTAGGAGAGATATTTAAAGTCTTGGTACATCAGAACAGTATAGGTAATTGTTGTTCAGTTTATTGTAATCCTGACAAAATTTTTGTTGGGCATACATGAATATTTATTACTCATTGGATTTTATTTTACTTCAATTCTTAGGAGAGAAAAAAAAAAAAAAAAAAGAAAATCATCAAGGGATACCAAGCACCAATCCTGATATAACGGCAAAGCACATATTTAAGATGTGGATTGTAAAATACTGGAGTATTTTGTTTAAGTTTTCTTTTTTCCTTTTTTTTTCTTGGTTTGTTTGTTTGTTTGAGACAGGGTCTATGTATTTGAGACTGACCTGGAACTCACTATGTAGCCCAGGGTGGTCTCCAACTCACAGCGATCCTCCTGACTCAGCCTCCCAAGTGCTGGGATTACAGGCCTGTGCCACCATGCCTGGCCATGTTTAAGTTTTCTTAAAGTTCCATATCAATTCTTCAAAGAAATACATATTGTCTGTCAGGTTTAGGAAAATGATGAGATGGTACTGATAATAATGATAATTTCCTACTTTTATTGAGTGATTAGCATCGTTAGTTACTAAATAAGCACATTGCACGTGTAATTCTCTTCAAAACTCACCAAGACCATGAGAAATAGTAGCATTATATATGTGTGTGTGTGTGTGTGTGTTTGTGTGTATAATACATGTATACATACATATATTATTTATACTGTAAAAGACACTGAGGATGAGAGAATCTAATTCAGTAACTTGCCCAAATCCCTTACCCATATGAAATGCAGCCACAAATATTCCTCATTTTAGTCTAAATGAAAAACTTACATCTTTGGATATCAAGAAGAATACAGGCTAACTTCTTATAAATTTTGTTTTTCTGAACAAAAGACATTGGGTGAGAAATACATCCACACGAATTCTGTGGACGTGTAGTAGAATTTGAACTCCACTGGAAGTTAAGGGAAGTCACCAAGTACTATGGCTATTTAAAAACCAGGTAGGTAAAGACAGTTTAAACACAAAAATTACCTTAGGATGTCCCAGGAGAAAGTTAGCAGCTTCCTCAAAATAGTCTAAATCTACTTTCTCCAGATAGGCAGGCAGGTCTTCATAAGCCAAAAAAGCCAAAGCTAAGGAGGCAAAGCCATGACTGGCCAGAAGACTGGCCCTGAATTCAACGAGTCCACCAGTATTGCCGTACAAATCAATTACCCCTGGGAAACGGCCCTCTCCTGAAAAAGCACAAGACAGAATGTAACTGTAGATGAAGTGACAGTGAGGGAAACAATAAAAATTTGGCAACAGCACAAAAAATGTATCAGATGTTTGCATTTAATGTATAATTTTCAAATACAGTCCCACATTTTCAGCTTTACACCTGGGCCAGAAAAAGGTCTAATTAATATGTAATAGTAATAGAGCACAACATGTAGACATTTTGATGGAAAACATAGTTGATGACATGTTAACCTTTACAGGAAAGGATTATGAGAGATTTGTCTCTATATCTTAAACAACGGTATAAAAATTGGAGTAGAAGCTCTTAAACAACCAAAGATACACAAATGGGATTCAGGAAATCTAAAAGGTCTAAAAATTATAGGCAACAAAAAAAATGTGTGTGTGTGTGTGTGTGTGTGTGTGTGTGTGTGTGATTTTACTGATGAAAGGTGCCATAGTTTGACTTTAAGTATTCCCAAAAGGCATATGTGTTAAAAATTCCTCTTCTACAGGAGGCTCCTTTAGGGCCCCTCTCATGAGTTTTAGTTTAAGCATTTGGTACAATATTGTTGTCACAAAATGCTAGTGATGTGATGAACAAAAGTTTGCAACAAATATAAAGGATGCACAAACTTTTACCTCCTTTAGTTAGAAATGAATTTAACACCAGTTCCAAGTTTTGAAATTCAATGATGTAGGGAATCCATTACTAATTACATGTAGTCCTAGGCTTAGACAAGCTCAGGAATAGTTGAGGTAAAATTGACTTAGAGAAAAGTATTACCATGTGCTTGTTCTGATCCAAAGTCAACATTTACTCTAAGAAAGGAAAGTGGGGCAATATGTATTAGGCACACTTAAGATAAATTTATGGAGCAAGGAATCATTTAAAAGAGGAAGACACAGGATAACAATAATCAGAGTCATTCTAGTCACCTGGAGGAATAAAGAGGGCTCCCCGGAGGCGGCCTTCCTTCACCTGAATCCGTGTGACACCAGGTGCCACATACCACCTTTCCAAGGTCACACTGGCAATTGGATCAATGGACAATTCATGTCTTAATGGAGGAAGTGGTTCACAGACTTTTAATTGGACCTGGAATGGGCTATTCATCACATCTTTTTTTATCAGTCTTGTTAACAGCTTTTCAGGTTTCAAGGACCAGAAGAGTCCCATGGGGTGGACTCCCGCGTAGTCGCCTCCAAGTGCAGCGTCACGCTCCAAATCTACCTCACCAGCTTCATTGGCCTTATAGTAGGCCTGAGAACAAAACAGATTCCCCTTTTCATCGCTCAGTGATGCCTGAAGGCTCACCACCTTGAAAGGACTCAGGCCTGTAACTCGGATATGCACGGGCTCATCAGCAAGTGCACTCAGAGGAGTAGCTGTCAGCTGAACCATTTTACAGGTCGAATGTTTTACCTCTGGTAAAATCTAGAATAATGAAAAAATAAGGAGTAAGAAAATAAGGTAGTGATAAAGTTAATGAGTGGTGAAATCATCCAGGAATCTTAAGATTCACTTTTAAGCCTCTGATAATTTAGGAAATATCTTTTTATCATCTTCCAGTGCAAGATACCTGAGAGTGGGAAACAAATTTCTAGAAGTCAAAATTAAGCTTAATGTTTTATTACAATTAAACCATACTTGAGAAAGCAGCAACCCAAATGCACATGAATGATATCAATACATCAAGGATGAGATCATAGCCTGTCATATAACTCTTGAAATATCAGATATAAAAAAGAATAGGACTGAGAAGCAGGGCTGAAAATAAGACAATTTACTGAACTTCTGTCCATACATAAGAGTTAACTAATACACTCATGTTAATGATATGCTATCCCAAAATCCTGAAAATGGAATGTCCAGTATCAAAGACTTTACCTCCAACACAGCACTTCAAAAAAGGCAAAAAAAAATAGGAAACATTTCAAAAGAATGAGAATAAAATCTTTTGAAAATAAAGTTAACATGTGTTTTGTTCCTAGAGAAAAGATATCCATCTCTTTGTGCTATCAATTCACCCAGTACAAAAGCAAGAGTAGAGGTCAACAAGAACTTCAGGTACACAGAAGCCTTGCTGAACTGTTTTTAACCTCACTCTTAAAAATTAACATGTTTGTTGATGTGGAAAAAACCACAAGTGATCACTGGTCTCATTCCAACAACCAAACAATTTGGACAAACTGCAAAATAACATTTTGTTTATTTGGTATTTGTCTTTCTTTTTGTTTAACTCATTAATTTGCTTAGATGCCAAGAATGAATTTAACTCCGGGAAGTTACAAGCTACATAGGAGACAGAAATTTTTGTTTTATGCAGACTCCTAAATTGTTATAAACTGTCAAAAAAGATACACCCACAGAGATTAATTAGAATAAATAATCAAAAACCTTTATGCATTTTTGATGGATGTGTATGGGCTGGTTTTGAGACAGAAGTGAAATGCCTGTCTCTCTTGCATTTGTGCTGGCTATCGAGGTGTGAGGCTTGGTCTGCGTCCAGGGTGCCTCTCTGTGTTGCTCTTATTTGCTCCCTCTTGGACACAAATAGACTGGGCCAGTCCGCTTCAGTGTCCTCCCTGGCTATCAAATCCCCCATTTGCTCCTCCCACCTGAGTGCAGCCAGGCAGCAGAGTGCCACTTCCCCAGTCCCTCCCTCCACTTTAGGTAATACTGTTACTTTTTTTCTCCCAGGACCTGGAACCAAACACAGGATCTTGTGATTTCCAGGCAGGTGTGGTTCAGCTGAGCTAAATTCTTGGACCAGACACTGTTACAGTTTTGAGAACTGAGAGGACTCCTGGGAGTAGCTAAGATCAAAAGGGAGAGATCTGGGCCCCTTATTTGCATATCCAGCATTCACAGCAAACCTTCCAAAAGGTTTTCTGATTTCATTCCTCAACCTCAATAAAACACATCTTCAAGCTGCTACGAAAATGGCATTTTTGAAAAGGTGTTCCTGGGTTTTGGTCTAGTTGGGCTGTCTCCCATATACTAGCACCTCAGTACTACAACACAGATCTTGTTAAAATAAAGATTTGCTCTATGATCTGTTGGCTATGTGTTGGCTTTTTGTCTAGAAAAAAAAAATCTGCCAACTTTTTATAGGTCCTCACTATATGCTGAATAGCAGAGTGTGAAAAACACAGACTTCATACCCTAGGACTCAGGCTGAGATAAATTCATGAGGAATTGTAGGCTTTCTTGTAAAGCAAAGCAATAATCCTCTAAAGGGGAAGGCAGAGGACCAGACAAATTTAGCCCTACAATCCGAAAACCAGAGCATGACTGAAGAACTAGAAAAACTCCTTAAAAATCCTCCAGAAGAACGGTAAGAATTTGTCAAATTTGAAAAGCTAGTAACATGTCTGTGAAACACAGAAACTACCCAGAAGTTCATTAGCTGATGATGCAAAAGGCCTAATCCACAAACCAAGACTATCTGAATCCGAGATTCAATGAATTAGAGCTGCATCTCAAAAACCAGACCCATCTCAAAAACAGCACCTAATTCCAACATTCTTAGAGAATAGAGGCACCCTTTTCTTGCAAGGAAAATTTTTGTCATTATTTTCCTAAAATATATATATTATATAATTAACATTTTAAAAATTATGATGTACAAGAGGGATAGAAAAAACTAACTCATGATTATAACATGAAACCATTTACAATCAAAACAAAATTGGCCCAAAACTTAGACAAAAAATAGAGTAAAGGAGCAGAAATTATATACCCAATGTAAACTATATATACCCAATGTAAATTTTATACTCAATGAATATACCCAAAGTAAACTACAAAAACAACATGATAGAACATAGCATTTGAGATGGGTGGGAAATTATCAACACTCCAATATATATATGTAATTGATGCCTTAGAGAGCTAAGCACAGAAGAAATATTTGAAAAATATGTCTGAAAATTTCCCCAAATTTTTGAAAAGCATCATGACACATCTGCAGGAAATTGGAAAGATAAAAGACGGACAAGACAAAAGAAAACCACAACTCTTTTACTCAAATTGACAGCATGAAAAGCAGATTTTTAAAGTAAAATGTGAAAATAGAAACATACACAAGAGAATGACTAATATTATATCTGTTTCCAAATACAAACAATGAAAGGCAGATGATAATAAACCTCTGCAATGTTTAAAGGAAAAAAAATTAAACAAGTAAACCCAAAACAAAACAAACAAAAACCCAAAACTCCTTGTATTACAAAAAATGAAGGCAACTGATCACTTTGGCAGCACATATATAAAAATGAAGGCAAAATAAAGATAGTGTCAGAAAAATATCTGAGAAATTTTGTCTGCTGTAGAGCAGCAATTCAAGAAATGTGAAATACTGAAGGCAAATTATAACAGATAGATGAGTTGATCTATTTGGGAAAAGATTAAGAGCAAAAAATGGCAATTACTTGGAAAAATATAAAAGTACCTTTGCAAAAATCTATCACTGTCTCTCCATCTCTGTCTCTATCTGTTTCTGTGTTTGTCTCTCTCAAAATAATAGCAATATATTATGGGGTTATATAACATATAGAAATAAAATATAATGACTAAAATGTGGGAATGGGAATAATAAAGTCATGTTCATATCACCATTTTTCAAGAAATACAAGGATATTTGCAAATCAACTGTGATAAATTTAAGGATACAAAAGGAGCTCAGTAATTATGGGGACAGAAAAAGACCACAAGCTGCCAAACACTGAGTTGCCTTGTATCAGAATATTCAACTAATGCAACAAGCTCAAAATGAAAGCATTGAGCTCTTAATAATATACTGCAATGGGGTATAACAAATGTGAAAAGTAGAAAAGGGCTCAGGTGCACAAAGCTCAGAGGATAATAACAGATTCAGAGGTCTTCTCACTATTGAGGCAGTCCTATATAAAATGGACTAGAAATTTTATGAACATTTTGGATATGGGAGAAGGGCAAGGGAGGAAGCTTTAGCAGTTAGGAAAATGCTGTGTATCAGGTCAAAAGTATCTTTAATTTCCAACTTTCTCTGAATTTGAGAGGAACTTCAAACTTTTACCTTAATCAATAAATGACCTAAAACAAATACACGTAGGGTAGAAATGCAAATACACAGAGATCATAGTTCATCTGAGTCATTTACTTCAACTCTTTTCTAGAAAATGAAATGAACTGGCTCATGGTGTAATCATCTTTCCTCTGTATCAACAAAGCAGAAACTTCAGATAGAGTGAATACATCAAGCAAGGTGAGTAGTTAAACAAAGAAGGAAAAGTAAAGGAATCATCAACAGAAAAAGAATGCAATCCAGGGAAGAAATCAATACATTTTCAGCAATAATTTTCAATCTAAACAGCTTCATTTCTCCAATGAAAAGACAAAGATAGGCAGGCTGGATTAGAAAAAAAAAAAAGACAGAATCCCAACAGTTGTCACATTCAAGAAACTTATCTAAATAAAAGAAATTAATAAGCTAAAAATCAAAGGATGGAAAACAATATTCCATCAACAAGATTCCCCAAAGCAAGCAAGGGAATCATTCTTATTCTCAGTCAAATTAAACTTCAAGCTAAAAGTGATTAGAAGAAGTAAAGTCACTACATATTATTTAAGGGACAAATCCAACAGGAAAAGATAAAAATTGTAAATATATGCACTGAATATTGGGGTACCTAACTTCAATAAAAAATGCTACATAAAAGATAAAAAAGACATAAATACTATCTTAGTGGTTGATCCCAATATCCCACTTATATAAATAGATGTATCAACTAAACAAAATATCAACAAAGAAATATCAAAATTTAATCAAACCCTTGAGCAAATGGACTTAATTGGTATGTGCAGAATGTTCTACCCTACTACAACAGAATGCACATCTTTTCAGAATTACATGTAACTTTCTCTAAAATGGATCACATACCAGTCCACAAAGCCTGCTTAAATAAATACAAAATTTAAACGCACTCATGTATATTATCAGATTATTGTGCATTGAAACTAACCAATCACAAAAGAAACTTCAGAAAATTTATAAACACCTACAAACTTAATAACACTCTCCTGAACATTCAATGGATTATGGAAGAAAAAAGAAACTATTTCTGCAATCAAATGACAATTCCACTACAACCCACTACAATTGATGGGACACAAAGAAATCATTTTTAAGAGGGAAGTTTATTGCAATCAGTGCTTACACTGCATTAGAAATACAGAGTGAGCTTAAATAAATAGCCTAATGGAGAATCTAAAGACACTTGAAAAACAAGAGTCCAAATGCAAACCTAGTTTAAGGAGGGAAATCATACAGAAATTAATGGAAATGAAACCAAAACACATTCACACACAACACACACAACGAAAGAATTAATGAATTGAAGAGATGGTTCTTTGAAAAAATAATCTACATAGATAAATATTTACCCAAACTTACTAAAAGAAGAACAAATTCATTAGTAAGATTAAAACTGCAAAAGGAGAAATCAAACCAGACACTGCAAAAATTTGAAGATTATTAGTAGCTACTATGAAACATTGTACCCCAACAAATTGGAAAATCTTGCAGAAGTGGACAGATCCCTATACAAATGCATCAGAATTACAGGAACTGTACTAGGTGTGTTTCTCGTATACAACATATTGTTGGATTTTGCTCCTTAATCCATTCTGCCAGTCTATTTCTCTTGATTGGTGAATTGAGGCCATAAACATTGATGGTTATAACTGATATGTACTGAATTATCATTGTCACGTTATTGTCCTGTTGTTGGCTCTTTTTAATATTTCCTCTCCCTTTAATTTCTTGCCTTGACTAACTGATTTGCTCTGTTGGGCCTCATGGTGTTGTGACCTTCAAGGGTGGAGGAGCTGAAGGGAATGCGGGGTTATGGGGAAAAAATGAGAACCAAGACCTGTCATGTAAAGGTACAAGATCCCAATGATGAATGTAACTCTACTGTATACCTAAAATGTACCAATAAACTCAATGATAAAAAAGAACATCATATAAATACATCCCACATCTAAAAAAAAATACAAAAACTGAACCATTACGACATAAAAATTCTGGACAAGCAATGAAATTGAGACAGTAATAAAAACCTACCAACTATGAAACCTGATTGATTCACAGATGAATTCTATAATATCTTCAAGGAGGGTAAAACACCAGTACTCCTCAAACTGCAAAGAAATGTAAAAGGAAGGAACACTTCTAAACTTATTCATGGAATTCAGAAACCAAAGACTCAACTAAAAAGGAAAACTACAGCCAATCTCTTGAATAAAAACAGATGTAAAAAATCCTCAATAAGATATTGTCCAACAGAATGCAACAAATCATCAAAAGGACCATGCATCATTACAAAGTTGGGTTTATCCCAAGAATGCAAGGATATTTCAGCATATGGAAATCAATAAATGTAATACATCACATAAACAGAAAGGACAAAACCAGAATCATCACATAAATAGATGCAGAAAACACATTTCACAAAATGCAATACCCATTAATCATTTTTTAAAAGACCTGAAGAAAATAGATACAGAAAGGCCTTAACTCAAAATGATAAAAGCCACTTATGACAAATCAATAGCCAACATTATATTTAATGTAGAGAAGCCAAAGCTTTTCTTTTAAAATCAGCAGCAGGACAAGGATGTCTACCATCGTCACTCCTGTTCAATGTAGTACTCAAGATATTAGCCAGATAAATCAGGCAAAAAAAATAATAAAAGGGATACATAAATAGGAAAGGAAGAAATCAAATTATCATTTGTAGATGGCATGATCCTTTACCATGAAGACCAAAAATATTCCACCAAAAGACTCCTAGAATTAATTTCCAAATTCAGTAATGTACAGTGGATCCTTGACTTACGAACTTGATCAGTTCCTGAGGGCTGCTGCTAACTCAAGTTGGTTGTAAGTGAATAATGTTGAAGTCTGGATTTTTACCTGGGTACACACTATATATAACAAGAGGCAGATTAATCTTCCATTAACCTGATTAATCCAACTTGCTCAACCCAAGTTGGTCAGGCCAATCAGAACTTAATGCTTCACTGTAACAGGATACAAAATATATATGCAAAAATCAATAGCACTCCTGTATAGCAATAATTAATTCACTGGGAAAGAAATTAGGAAAATAATACCATTCCCAACAGCATAAAAATATTAAATATTTAGCAATAAAACTAATCAAGGAAGAGAAAGACATCTACAATAAAAACTATAGAACTTCAAAAGAAAAGGAGATCAAAGAGATTTTTAGAAAATGGAAAAATGTCCCCTGGTTCTTGATAGGCAGAACAAATATTGTCAAAATGGCCTTATTTCCAAAATTGATACACATATTTAACATAACCCCAATCAAAATATCAATAGCACTCCTCAAAGAAGTAGCGAAAACAATCCTACAATTCATATGGAACCAGAAGAGATCAAGACTAGCAAAACAATCCTGGATGACAAGAGCAAGGCAGGAGTCATCACAATCCTGGACTTCAAGTTATATCACAAAGCTACAGTAAAAAAAAAACAGAATAGGGTATCAGCACACACACACAGAAAAGACATGTGAGTTAGTAAAACAGGACAGACAATGGAGAAACAATCCCAGACACACTCAGCCACCTGATCTCTGACAAAAGAGTCAAAAATATATGCTGAAGGAAAGATTGCTTCTTTAGAAAATGGTGCTGGGGAAACTGACTATCCACGTACAGAAGATTGACGCTAGATCAGTATCTCTCACCATGTAGTAAACTAAAATCAAGACAGATGAAAAATCTAAGTATTAAAATGCAAACTTAACCTCCTGGAAGATAAAATAGGTATAAATCTAGAAGTCATAGGTGTGGGCAGGGAATTTCTAAACAAAAGTCCAGAAAGCTTCTGCATAGCAAAGACAACAACCAAGAAAGTGAGGAGGCCACTTACAGAATGGGAAAAAAATTTGCTCAGTTACACCTTGAATAGAGGATTAATTTCTAGAAGATATAAAACAACTCAAAAAATAAACAAATACACAAAAAAAGTTGAACCACTAGTCATTAGATAAATGCAAATGAAAACAATGCCAAGATTTTGTTTTATTACACAAAGAACATAAATCATCAAGAAATCAAATATAAAATATAGTACTAATAAATGCTTGTGAGACTTCAGTGAAAAGTGAACCTCCTACATTGCTAGTGGGAATATAAATTAGTACAACCTCTATAGAAATCACTATTGAGATTCTTCAAAAACTCTAAAAATAGAAATTCCATTTGACCTAGATATTCACCTACTAATCAACTTCCTGAAAGACTTAAAAATATCACATTGCAATGCTACATGCATACCAATTTTATAGCATAACAATTCATAATAGCTCAATCTCGAAAGCAGCATATATGTCCACCAGCAGACGGATGGCTAGAGAAAATGTGTTATCTGTACTTAATGGAATACTAATTTGCTATAAAGAAGAATAAATATTAGTCATTTTCGGAAAATGGATGCAACTTGAAAACACATTGTTAAGTGAAATAAATCAGACATGAAAGTTTAAATACCATACGGTTTCTCTCATATGAGAAATCCATAGCAGAAGTAAAGAACAAAATAAAGACAGATAAAAGGAAATTGGAAGAGAGATCTTTGCAAATGGGAAGGGTACTGAGAGATAGAAAGTGGAAGGAACAGGAGAGGGAGAGATGATGTAAAAGAACTAACGTGTCACATACACGTACAACTATCCATGATGAACATAAATTCCAGCTTCGTGCTTTCATTTAAATAGAAAATCACTAATACTGTTCTTCCTAAGCAAAATATGACTGAAAATCTATCCTTCTCTTAGCACTCCTCAGAATTTTACTGATCTCTGAGATTATGAAAGAAGTAGAAAGACTGTTTGTCCTTCCTCACAAACTTCTAAACTCCAAACACTAGAGTAAAAAATCTGATTTTTACTGCTAAATCAACAGCTGAGATTTTAACCAGTCCCAACGAAGGAGTGATAATTATAAACCAAAATACCTGAATTTTTCCTCTGGAGCCTAATTTCCAGCCATAAGCAAACAGGACAAGCTACCTGTGTGTTTCCTCAAAATAAATAACTCAAGTGCCTTTTATTGGATAACATTGCTAATACCACCCGTTTAGTCACCACCCTTTCCTCTAGTTTCATATTCACTGTTAAATTTCAATGAATCCAACCCCTCCTCTGTCCTTCTTTTCGTTTGGTATTCGTTTCACTTCAACTTCTTAGGTACAGTGTTTGTATTTTACTCACATATTCTATTCACTTAATTTTCTTTATAAACATGTTTTCTAAATTTTATTGCTGCTATTTGGGTATTTGTCCTGTACTAACAAAAAAAAAAAATAATCAAAGTGTATCTAGAGGTTAGAGCAGTTTCTTTAAAGTTAAAAATTTTTGAAAGATTAACTATGTCTTCAGTTTCTAATGTTGAGAGCAAAATCAGCCATCCTACCTCAACCCCAGGTGCAGGGACAAGCATTCAACATTCCCTCGGTCAAAGCATGGCTAAATCTTTGTGTGTATATTTCTTGGCTTTTGTTCCCTTGCATTCTTTTTATAAATTGGACTGGTTCTGGATACTCAAGGGATTGATCAAATTGTGAGTAATTTTGTTTTGAGGACTTAAAAGGCTTTTCTTGTACTGTTTATGGTAGACAGGTAATTGAATCCAGATGCCCGTGGTCCAGATCCAGGCCTCTAACCCAGTCCCTCACGGACAAAATGGTGACCGTGAAAAGGCAAGCACTCCTAAAATTACAATTTTCTAAATATTTAAATTATTCTTTCTTTTCATTATAATTTCTATCTTTGATTCATTTCTGTCTTTTCACATTTTACTATAGACATTCAAAAAAAGCCATGTCACCCCTTGAACATTTACTTAAAGATTTCTTTCACAAAATACCTCATTTTAATAGTTATAGACTACTTTGCACAAAACACAAGAATATGAATGCAATTTAGTCACTTTTTATTGCTTTACAACAATCATTGCCTTTCATTAGTTTATAATAACATATCCCTCCTTTCCACTTGAGATTTTATCAGAAATTTATCAGTGTCCATAAGGATCATTGTCTATCAGTATTCTGATCATGAATACTTAAATAACTGATGAAAAAAAGTTGTTTTTGTAGTTTTCCTCTACTCTGAGCCCTTGTCAGAATAAAGCTTAAGGTACCTTTCACAACAGTGTATCTTAAAACTCTTCTATTTTTCAATCACTACCAAGTTACAAAGCCATTTCCACATTTATAGATATTTGATGCAAAACCTCACTTATTGGTTTTAGAGACCAGAGAAGAATTGAGGCCTAATTGGCCTCCTCCCTGAGCACAAAGGATCAAGGCTGCACTCAGGGATGATTGAATATTGCAGGTTCTAGAGAAAATAAGACAGTTGAGTTTAGGTTGTTTACCAGAGAATGTACTAAGGGATATTGTAAAGCGGATGAATCTTGGGTTACTTTGATTGCTTATATGTGTGTTTGGGTGCATAAAGGCAAGATTAGCCAGATACAGAGGGTTCTTCTGCCTACTAGAGGTGAGAGGCCCTTGTCTGCCCACATGTTAAACTATGTGTCACTATCATTTATCCTCATTCACCCCAGGTACCAAGAGAATGAAGTAGCAGGTTTAGGTCCTGGAACAAGGGTGGCTGAGTGGGTCAACTACAGGTGGTGCCCCAATGTAAAGCTTGGGATCTAAGCTCAGATACATCTTGGTACCAATCTGAGATAGTCTATTCTTGTTGCTATAATAAATATTTGAGAGTGGATAATTTATAAATTATAGAAACAATTCTCACAGTTTTGCAGATTAAAAACAGGTCAATATATTAGCAGATTCAGTGACTGGTGAGTATTTATTCTTGGTTCAGTAGGTGGAACCCTCCTTTCTCATCTTCATATGGTAGAAGGGGCAGTGCAGTTCATTTTAACTTTTTTTTTTTTGGTACTGGGGATCAAACTTGGGACCTTGTACTTTCAAGGCAAGTGGCAGAACCACTAAGCTAAATCCCCAGCCCTCATTTTAACATCTTTTATGAGAGGCACAAGTATCTTTTAATCACCCTTCATCTTTTGGAAAACACAGAAGAAATGGAAAGACTCCTAAACACATATGAATTACCAAAGCTGAATCAAGAAGATATAAAAATTATAAACAACACAATATTGTTGTAGAAAACCTGGACCAGGAAATACAAACCCACTCAAAAGAGATGGAAGAAAGCTTTACCTTACCCAGTGGGTCTAGGTACTCCAAATTTTAAAATGGTAGAGTTGGGAGAGCATGGACAAGGGGAAAAAAATGAGAACCAAGACCTGTCATGTAAAGGTACACGATCCCAATAATGAACGTAATTGTACTGTATACCTTAAATGTACCAATAAACTCAATAAAAGGAAAAAAATGGGAGAGTTGTATACCGTCTTGTAATTTGGCCTTGGGATGAGCAATAATGTAACTGTCTTGATGTTGGAGCTTTCTTTAGGAACAGGATATTCACATGGCATAACACAACAGGATACACATTGTAAACATTGAGGCTAACCAAATATATTTTCATGACTAACAGAGAGGACGTAACAGAATACATACTGTGAATACTAAAGCTAACAGGTTATACATATATATTCTGTGGTGGCTTACATTGTGATTATATAAAGTATCAGTCACTGGGAAGAGTTCTTTTCCCCTATTTGGGAATTTTTCTTCCTTTATATCTGTGAACAGTTTTTTTTTTTTTAATGTCATCTACACTCTCTCCTGTTTCTTCATTGACTCCAATCAGGCCTATGTTATTCTTCTTTGAATGGTCTAGCAGCTGCTGGATTGATTTCTTATGGTCCCTTACTATTTTAAAGAAATTTTTATTTTCCTGGTCACTAATTACAATCCCACCTTCTATATCTGAAATTCCATCCTAGCATTGATTCATTCTGCTGCATAAACTTTCAGTGGAGTTTTTAATCTCCTGGAAATCTGTTTGCATCTGTCTTATGGATTCCATTTGTTTCCAGTGTTGGGATTCCATCATGTTTCTCAGCTCTTCTATTTTTTTTATCTGTGTCCACTTTGGATTTATTAATCATGACTTGTACTATTGGCACAATCTTTGCTGTTATGTGAGAAATTATTTCTGATTTCATTTTTTCCAGGCCCTCTTTCATTGCCAGTTCAGGGAGTCCAGGTTGTTGAGTATCAGTCTGTTACATCTTGTTTCTTTTTGGGGTTGCCTTAGGTGATCTGGAAGTTTGTTTTTTAGACTCATTTCCAAGTCTTCTCATTTCAACAGATGCAACCTGCCATGCCTTTGCTGAGGCAACTTTTTGCTCACCCAGTGATATTCAATTCACAGCAAGCCACCAAACAGCCTTTACTCTTCTGTTCACCATTTACCCTGCTATTCACCAGTACACCAGTTCCTGGGTTTAAAATGGTGGCCTTCTATATCCCTGAGCTGACCTATTGTCTGGGTGGGTTTCTGGCTGGGGCCTATGCACACTTGGGATAGTATCTAGGTGTGCCTCTCACTGGGGCCCCAAGGTAACTGTTGTCTGGGAGTGCCTTTGGCTGGGGGTTGTGTACTCCAGTTCCTGTTGTCTGCATGGGCTTCTGGCTAGGGTCTCCATGCACATATCAATGGTTTCAGGGTGAGCCTTTGACTGTTACTTGTTCATCTGTGTACTTATTTTCCAGGTGGGCCTTTGCCTGTGGCTGATGGTACAGTAGGTCTCTAGCTGAAGCTTGTGCACCTGTACAGCTGTTTTCTAGGCTGGCCTGTGTCTTGAGCAGGTGTTCCCATGCCTCTCAGGTTGGGGCGGGGCACTGGCCGGGATCTTCCTGCAGCCACATGACTCTGGTACACACAATTGCTCCCCAGGATCTGTGCACAGTTACTGATGGTATTCTGGGACTCTGGATGAAGCTTGCAAGCCTATTGAGCCCTTTTCTAGGTGGACCTGTGCTTGGGCATGTGTGTCCATACCTCTGGGGTTAGGACAGGGCCCTGGCTGGTAACCACCTACAACTACCACTCTGGTCCACACATCTGCTCCCCAGGATCTGCGTGCACTTACCCATGGAATGTGTGTCATGCTATGGTTGGCTTTTTTTCCAATCTTTAACCCACACTGAATCTCCTGGCTGAAAGGGATCCATGGGATTTCCCATAGGAAATAGCAGTTTTATTGATTTGTGAGAAAATTTTTCCTAACACTTTTAGTCGTACAGCCACATAATTATCCCCTAGTTGTCTAACATCTTCCTGGAAGTGTAGGGGATGCCTTTCATACATTATTTTATAAGGTGAGTAACCTGAGGGTCCAGGAGTGCATCTAACTCTGAGCAGGGCCAATAGTAATAAGTTTGGACAGTTTGCACCTGTTCTTGGCAATACTTAGCTAAGACATTCTTGAGGGCTTGGTTCATGTGTTCTTCTTTTCTGAAATTTATGGTCTATAGACTGTGTGAATATTCTATTTAATTTTTAACATGTCAGCTAAGCTCTGGACAGCTTCAGCCACAAATTTAGGCCCATTGTCACTCCAAATTGACAAGGGAAGTCCATAACAGGGAATGCCTCCTCAGAGAAGGGAGTTAAACAACTCCTCAAACTTTTTTGATCTGGGTTGGTTTGGCTTCAACCCAACCAATAGTCTGCAGAATAAGTGCAGACTATTACTGTTAGGTATTTGTGTCTGAAGCAGGGCTGCATTTCAGTAAAGTCTATCTGTAAATCTTCAAATGGAGATGTCCCTGTGTGTTGAATTCCTAGGGGTGGCATCAGTCTCTGGAGAGTGTTGTGGGCACAGGTCTTGCATCTTTGACAGACTGTAGCACAAATCGAGGGGAATCTTGCAATATAGTAGTATGTCTTTAAGAGATCTTCTAGTTTGTTTTTTCTTAAGTGGGTATTTTCATGGGTTTCTAAAACAAATGGATAAGCACTGAGAGATGCAATGAAGATTCTGGCATCTGGTAGTGTGTGGAGGCCTGACCCCATCCAGCAGCCCCCTATTCCTGAGCTCAGAAATGTTCTTCATTGAGTAACAGCCAGGATTGCCCTTTGTATTGGGGTGTGTCTGC